ATATTTATCTTACAGAATTCCAGTGATGTTCACAATTCATGCATAAGTTTTAAAAAGTGGGTTATAAATATATGTACAAAAAAAAACCCCTTCTGGGCTTATCTCTGGGAATTGAGGATATTTGTTTCAAGCTATACCTTTTTCATTATTAAATAACAAAATAAAAAACAATAAATGGACTAGGTTTATAATTAATTATAAAAATAATTAAAGAAAGACAAAAAATTATCTTTGGTTTCTAGGTTCTAGGTTTAATAGAAAAACAGTTAGGGATGAAGTGAGTATCCTGCGCACGCCATTGAGCTCCATCATCTAGAACAGACTCACAATGTCTTATGTATTTCATATTGGGATATGATCTGAGAAACAAGCTAACATGTTAGAACACTAGTAGTTAGGCATCACTCTTTGAGAGTATATAGAGGTAATAGAGTTCCAGGTAAAGTACAAATTTAGTTGAAACATACTATTGAATTTCTATAGGAATTGGAGTTAACAGATGAAAGAAAGAAAAATAGGTCTGTGAAAAAAATTGAGATGCATGAACTTGAAAACGTTCCTATTGCCAAGGCAACTTAAATCACAAAAAGAGAAGAATAATGTCTAGCTGACATATGTGAGAGTAAAGAGCCACAGAACTGTGTGGGTCAAAATTGTAATATATAGGACTGTATTAGAGAAGTGTTAGGGGCTGCCCTGCCTGGTCTCAGGAAGCTATAACCCCCCGTGACTTTGGCTGAGTGAAAGACCTCCGGACCAGGAGCCACTAAGGAGATAAAACTTATTTCCCTGACATGATCAGCAGTCAATGATGCATAACAATTCTCTAAGAAAGAGAATGAATCTAAGATAGATGCGATCACATGGGATGGCCTGAGGGAAGAAATTCACGGAGCTGTGGAAATGAAGGGGTGATGGACATCAACCCCTGCCCCATCGGCTTTGTCAAAGTCTGAGTCTTTGTTCTTAGTTGTGAGAAATCCAAGTCTCCTGGCTCTCTTTGTCTTCTCTGTTAACTCAGGATAGCAGGGGTGGCCCAGGCCAGAAATGGTGGACCCCCCAGGGTGATCAGGCCTGGGACATAGAATATGCAAGATCCTGTGAGATCTGTTTGCTGGAGGATGTTATCAACTTGGAATTTAAAAGCACAGACAGGAAACCAAAGCTGCCCTTTGAGCCATATGTTAAAACCCCAAACCTTGCCCAGAATCTCAGCAGGAGTTCTGTCCCCACCTTTGTAAGTTGCCTACATCATTTGATCTTTTCTGCCAGACTTTGAATCCACAAACTAAGTCTGTTTTCTCAATAAAAATCTGTTTGGGGATAGATATGGGGCGCCCTCCATGAGAGAGGGTGGCCATAAGCGCTCCCCAAGTAAGGAGTGGCCCTTCTGTCCCTATTCCCTCACAGGACCTGGTTGTTTCTGTGTATGTTTTTCTCGTGTTTCGACAAACATCTGCAGCCGAGATGGATACTGCAGGCTGGTATCCTCCACAGAGAAGAAGTTTGCTTAAAGATAGGAGTATTCATTACGGGAATCATTTTTTTTTAAAGCAGTTTATTAAGCCTATTCTAAATAGGGAAAAGCTGGATGTAATTGTATTCAAAAACTTGGATCCTCCCACTGGTCAAAGAAAAGCTCCCTAGCCTCTTCCTATTTTCAAGAAAATGGTCACAGGAAGAGAATGTGGTTACTCAAGTCAAGAAGCAGGGGCAATGCTTGTGGATGAAAACAAAAACAAATAAAAATTATTCTAGGAAAGTCAACTCACAGGGTGATCTGATAATAAACTCCTAACTGGGCAGGTCATGGAGGGTAGTCATGGCCCACACATGCAACTTCTTTACTAAAGGCTTATTTTTGCTTAAGCAAACCCTGTGCATTGTTTCTGTGCATCTGGGTTAACACAGTTTGGACTGCTTCTTTTCAGGCCCTCCCTATGAGACATAACTACACTGCAGAGCAAAGAACCCTAAGTATCCTGTTATCCACTTTCCACCTTGCTTTCTCCCATCTTCATGTAATGTTCTTTACATACTTTCCTTAATTTCAAATAAACAAAAGAAACTGCAAAACTTTTATTCTCTGGAGCTTTCGAGATCCTGCTTCCCCAACAAGCATATGGTGTCAGATTGGCTCAAACAAACTCTTATAAATATTCTATATAGGTTGGGGTGTTTCTAGTAGCATAGAGCTCTTATTTTTACTGTAAAGGCTTTTAGAAATGGCAGTGTTAAAAGTGTCAAAATGACAAGCAAAGAAAATTAACTAAAAAAATCAAATTTGCATCCATCACTAAAGTATCATAAACATGAATTATATAGTAATTCCAGAAAGGCTGTGGCTTGAAAACATTCATTGGAATTATTCCCAGATCGTTAAATCTCTGGGGAATTTCAGATAATAGCACTGGAATCAAATGTAAATCATACAGGAATCCACCCAAGTATATGTCCTTACCATATGATGGTGTCACCTTCTGACTGGAGGGGTTAGTGTTCTCTACATGAGATGGAAGACCAGATGAGTTCCTCATGGTCTGCTGAATGGTAGTTTACACTTGAAGTTGAAAGTTACATTTCTGTAATCACGCTAAGCTCTTTTCATTAACATAATTAAATGAGTTAGAAGACTAGTTCTCAAAGCATGGCTATGAACCAGCAACACCAGCATCACCCACCCTACCGAGCCCCAGAACTACTGAATGAGAAACACAGGGGAAAGGATAACAATTTGGTTCCTCAAGACCTCCAGGTGATTCTCATGAGTAGTAAAGGTTGTGAAGCTCTGGGCTAGACACTCACAGACCACAATTTGATTGTAGAGTAAAAATCCCCCAAAACATGATGGTGATCAAGGATGAGATGATTATACCTCTGAAAGGCATGGAAACACCTTCCAAATCTTTATAGGAAACATGCAAATTCATAGATGGAGGAGAAATCAGACTGAGGGGGAAAAAGAGATGGGGTAGAATAGAAATCAGGTGGAAAGGGAACAGGGGGAAAGAGGTAAAGCAAATGAAAGGAAGAGAAACTAGGTGGAAGAGGGGAGACTGAATCTAGTGGAATAACCCAGAAAAAGGTAGAGAAAATTAATGGAGAGGAAGAAACCAGGCAGTGGGAGAGAAAGGGGTCAGGAGAAAAGAAGGGGAGCATGGGTGCTAAAATGCACCCAAAATATTCTGCTTTAAGTATTATTAACTCTGCATCTTTGGGAAAATTTAAATTGATCAGTTATTTTACATTTTACTTTGTGAAGAGTTAAGAAATAGGACTGAATACTTTGAAATATGGAAACACACAGAGTTCTTTCCCATTCCAGGGAAAGAGTCCTCATAAAAAATACCATCCTTCCTAATAATATAGGCTGGTATGTCTTTTTTCCTATTTTTTATTGTTATTCAATTACAGTTGTCTCAATTTTCACCCCCATTACTCTCCCCTACCCAGCCCACTCCCTCTCCCACATTCCATCCTCCTGCCCTATTGTCCTTGTCCATGTGACCTTTATACATGTTTAGGAGGGTATATCTTAAATTGGAAAGTAAGTTGTACCAATTTCCAGTTATAAGCCAAAGGTAAGTACTGTGTATGTGTGTGATTTAATCATATGACAAGTGTATATATAACACATATTTAATGATCATACAATCAATGTATAACCAAAAAAGTCTTGATATAAAAGTGGTAGATTGCTCACTGATAATATGTGCATACATGTATTTAAGCATATGTATATATAGTCCATGAAAAAATCAGATGATTTTTTCTCTTACAAGTGTTATTAAGAAGAGTTAAATTTAATCTCATCTATTTGTATATAACTGATACATAATGTTACATTTTCACAGAATTAGGAAGGAAGTACTATGTTATAAAAACAGGGGTGTGTCTATATTGTTTATATATATATATATGTTTTTTCTAAGGCTGATACCTATTTTTCAACAATTCTAGCACATTTTATACTATTTTATTCTTACTAAAACCACATTGGAAATGTAAAATATCATATAATGGTACCAACTTTTTAGCAAGTTTACCAAAATTCGTGCACTTGAATATATTTTCATCTTTAAAAAGCTAATCTGGATGGCCATATGTTTATTCCAATGATACTGCTGTTTCCATTTTTTGAACTTATCTTTTTAAATTGCCTCCAAAACCTTCAGCATAATACTTTAAATATCAAATAGAAAAAAATGTTTCATTTTAAGATGAAAATCCAAATAACTTTTTGAATTGGGTCAGTTCAATAAAATGAAATACCAAACTTGTAAAAAATTATTTTACTGAAAGTTAGGTGTGATTTAAAAGTGACATAAGTAATTTCTTCCTGCATGGCCTCTGTGTTGCTTTTTATAGGCAATTATATTAAAGAAGTGTTGAAATGATTATGAACAATCACTTCAATGGAAGACCAAGCATAAAATTGCAAGTAACATAAATTTGAATGGTTAATTTCTTATATTTTTATATCAAAAGCTGCTTTATTACTATGTAGACACTGTGAATCTCATTTATGACTTTAAAGAGGAGATAGTATGTTTGTGATTTTATGGGGTTTTTTTTTAATCTTATTAATGCTGGGGTATAAAACTGACCTAGAAAATGCAGAAACCAAGTTTTATTTTCAAACTAAAAAAAAAATTGGCTCTCAGTGTGCTTAGGGAGCCAAAGAGGAAGTTGAAGGGTAGTACTAAAGCTGTTTAGGCAAAATGATTGGGAGGTTATGGCAGCCTGTTTCTCGTCAGACCTTTGACATATACATCATATTCTTAATGGTAGAGCCTGGCCTCATTAGCCTCATTTTCATGAGCCACGGCTCTCTAGTCAGCAATGTAATTGTCCAAAGAAGCAATTCTATTACTCCAAGTGAAGACATTTTTAATTTGCCAAGTGAGAAAGCAGACTATATTGCCAACCATTAGACACATATGAGATGTTAAATATATTATAATTTCCACTAGAGAATTTGATTTGTCAAGAAATACTTGCCTCTAAATCCAGGGACACAGGTGCCAAAGAAATAGCCACTTAAAATGATACTGGTCACTTCAGTTTTGCAGGACATAGGTTTACAATCTTCAGTTTCTATTTCACAGATTTTTCTTTTATATATTTGCAGACAGCTACAGTTACATCTGTGCAAATGGACCCCGCAGAGGCCGTGCGATGATGTGCTCTGGTTTCCGAAGCAATCTCCAGTGTTGAGAACACAGAATCTGCCAATGTGACTGAGAGAACAGCTGCATTTGAAACATGCAGAAATGAAAACCCAATTAGTCTTAAAGTTAACATATTTCAAATATTTATCTCATATTTACTAAAATACACAGGGTGAGAAATATAATAAAGATGGCTGTGGGATTAAAAAAATCTTGTAGAAAGTGTTCATATTTAGCAAAGTTTAATTTTGCTTATTGCACAGAATAATGAAAGAAAAAAAGTTTTGCTACAGACAGACCTAGATTCAAGTACAGGTTCTGCCACTTAATTGCTATGTAACCTAGAATAGTATTGTGTTATTAAACCTGCTGAGGCTAAATGACAGGAGGTATATGCATTTCAGGATTATTGTAAAAATATGCAGTAAAGTTTTATAGTGAGTGTTAAACAACTAGCTTTTTTTTTTTTTGGTAATAAAAGTGCCTGATATTAAGCTCTAGATCACCAAGTCAGCTGCTTCACTGACCTTTATTTTTAATAAATAGATTGCCAGCTGCATCACCAGATAAAGAACCAGGCTGCACAGACCATGAAGTTCCCCTTTTTAGAAAGCACTAGTTAACCTAGATAACTGATCTTTTATGTCACTCTGCTTTTCCCTTCAGGCTGTTAAATTCCTCCTCTTACCTTTTACATTCACAAGAAGACTGAAGCTGGGAAAACTTGGCCAACCTACCCCACCCTCAACTCCAACAAAGGCAAATCCCAGGTCTGCTCTCTTATCTCTTTACCCAGGATGGGATTGATCTTGCCAAGTGGCCCAGCATGCCAAGTATTCTCCAGGATTTGAGGTGATAAAACTTGTTTTTTCAAAGTCCCCTGGTGGTTGTCCTGAGGTTCATTTCATAATCATAGTAAAAACCACAAGGGCCAGTCTTGCTGCCACAAGGGCTCCAGTGGGGAAAACGTGGGCTCCCTACTAGTATGGGCCCACAGGAGAGCCCGGGCATCCCTAGCCAATAACATCATTAACCATAGATAAAGACCTGCAGAAAACAAGTTTGAAATACCTATTCTCATGCCTAAGAGAAAAGAGTTTTTAATTAATAGTAGGTTCTATTGATAGTATTTATTCATTAACTTTTATGTTCATCCCATTAATATGTATTTACATTTTATTTTTTTTTTAAAAGATCTTCTTTATTTATTTTTAGAGATGAGGAAGGGAGGAAGAAAGAGAGGGAGAGAAACATCGATGTGTGGTTGTCTCTCACATGCCCCTAACTGGGGACCTGGCCTGCAACCAGGCATGTGCCTTTGTTACAGGGTGCAGCCAAGAGGGGGGACCCCAAATGGGCATTTGAAATGGGGTCCAGAACTTAAGGTGTCCAGGAGATTTTAAGATGTCTCCAACCATCCCCCCACCCAGGGTGTGGGTTGGGGGAAGGGACAAATGGAGCAAGGCCATTGAGAGCTGTTTTGCATAGCAACAGCCTTGCAGCTACCCTCTGGCGTGGTCACTTAACATATCTATAGCCTTTGGCTGGTCGCTTAGATATGTTAAATAGCTGTGATCATTTCTGAGCCAGGGGAGTGGAAGTAACTTCCCCACCAAGACGTGACTGGGGGCAGATCCCCCAAGCTACAGCGCCTGTGTGGGAGCTCGGAGAAGATTGGCTCCATGACATGGGGCCACGCCTGCCCAGACTCAAGATGGCAGCCCAGTAAAGCTGGAAGGATATGAGTTCTGGCATGTGAAGCCAAGTGTGGGAGGAGTCGGAAATGAGGCTGCAGAGGAAGATTGGCCGTGGGGATTTAAAACTCAGACTTGGCGGCCATTGGGAGAGAACCATGCTGCTTTAGGAGGGAGAGCCATGCGCATCCCAGAGAGGGAGAACCATGTGGCTTTAGCAGAATGGGGAGGACCTCAGCCTTTGGGGGAGAACCGTGCTGCTTTAGGAGAGAGAACCACGTGGCCTTGACAGAGTGGAGACTCCCGCAGCTTTAGAAGGGGAACCACCACCTGGTTTTAGCAGAGATCCCGGCGACTCAGCAGAGGGTGCCGGGAACCCAGGGAGGTCTCCCAGTCGAGGTGGAGGACTAACTAAGATCCAGAGGACTGCCTGAGCCATGGGCTTCTATTTCCTTTCCTGAGATACAGTACTCTGGACTGGGCAAAGGGGGAAGGAAGGAAGGACTGTGTCTGTTTGTGGGTGTTTTAAGGGACTTCAGGATTTTTGATGAAGACATTAGGTCACTACTTGAAGTCTGTATAGCATTAAATAAACATTTCCTTTCCTTTTCACGAATCTCTGGCATTGAGAGATGTCTTTCCTCGGGTGGCGGACATGACGGACCTGGGGGCCTTTTAAATAAGAGTATATTGTCCCAGGCCCCCCTTGTCTGTTCTGTAACACCTTGACTGGGAATGGAACATATGATCCTTTTGTTCACACGCCAGAGCTCAATCCACTAAGCTACACTTGATATTTGCATTTTCTGTGTGATTAGCATTGACCTGAATGAATTGATATTGAGATAAAAATAAACAAAAAACCACCTATGGTTCTGCTTTACTTCAAAAGATGTATCCTGTGCCCTCTTCTTGCCCTAACATAATGCTATTACATTTTATTCCAAATGCTTCAATATCTCAGTTCTTCAGTGGCCTATAATGTAAGTACTTGGAAGTCAGGAATGACGTTTGTTTTATTTACACTGAATCCCTATCACCTATCATATGCAAGTAAATGTTAGTGCCTAACATAGAGAGGACCTAAGAGAATGTGATCAATGAATAATGATGAAATAAATAAATGAGGTGCTAAAGGCACTTAGAATTTGTGGGGGGAGGGAAAGAAGAAGGTGATAAGTAGTAGAATGTATTAATAGCTGAAGGTGAATCAAATACAAATATTCTGGGAATTCTTATGAGGAAATTAACCTTAATCTGACATGATAGGATGATGAGGCAGGAGGAATGTTATAATATATTGTTTGTGTATATTATTATATACAACATTCAAACTTAACTTTTCATTCAGTATAGTTATTCATCTAAGATAAATGTAGAGAAAAACCAAATATTTTTGGATACTATTTTAGAAAGCTATATTACTTTGAATTTTGAAGTATCCTTGAATACATGAACACAATCCATAGATTCATTTATTTTTAATTTTTAAGCATTGATTTCAATTAATTTTAAGATCCCGAGGAGATTTTGCTTTAATAATCACAAAATTAATTCCTATAGTAATTCTAATTTAGCTAATATTTTCTAATATTTTATTTTTTCTCTATTATAAGATAGACTATTTCATGTAAATGTATTTGAAATAGTTCCAGATTTAAAGGTGATAGCCAGACTAGCTATCAACAAAAGAGGAATATTTTTCCAGAGTCAGAAAAGCATTGGCTTTTAACCCATGTTTCATTCAATTTGTACACACACATCTTTTCAGCACCTCGGTTATTTATTAAATACATTAGACAAACATTCTTGGGTCTTCTCTATATTCTAGGCACCACCTCTAGGTATTGTGGATTATGAGTAATTTTAATTTGATGGTACATTATATAACATACATTTATTCCTTTCTATATGACACATATATGTCAATAAAGCATATGAAAAACAAAGCATATGGTAAGAAAAATAGCATAAATCATAGTGATAATCTTTGGTCTAAGTAGTTTTTAAGTATCCTTTGCCAACTAGTCAAAGGACACTTAAGATAATTATGTAAACATGTCAATGAGTTGAGAAGCGCAATGTCAAATCACTTTGCTTGTTATTATTAATGAAAATTAACCTGCTGAACCTAAGTCTTTACACTCATAAATTTATATGATGGTAGGTGTTTAGAGCCAGCTAGAATGTTAAAGGTCCTTTAGTTCAAAGCTTTCTTCTTGCATCTGTGAAAAATTTGGCCATTTAATGAAATTTGCCAAAGGTCATTGAAATCATTAATGGCAGGCAATACAGTTAATACTTTCATATATTCAAAGCACTGGCCTTGGAGAGGGAAACCTGGTTCTAATTCTTCTCTAACTTATTTCATAAATAAGTTTCTCTGTGTCCTAGTTTTCTCATCTGAAAATTATTAGTGCTACATCTATGTCACAGAATAAAATTACATTTATTCATTACTAAGCAGGTAACGGTAACCAGCCAAACAAATTATGTATATGTTTACCTGAAATAAAATTACAGAATACAGTTCCTTCCCTTCGATGACCTCTCATTTGCTCTGCCAACTCCCCTTAAAAAGAACAACAACAACAACAAACCTAGGTAAAATCTAAACAACTGTCACATGGCATATAATTCTGCCTATTTCATACCCTGTTTAAGCATATTTTGTGGAATAATTATTAATAGTGTTCATGTACTTTAAAGGCATTTGGGTTGGAATGGTAAATTACATAGTGTCCTACATATATTACTAAGAAAATTATGTAGCTATGTGCCTCAACCATACCAATTTAGTCATAATGCTAGTTGTTATTCCATAAATATAAAAAGAAAATGAAAGCTTTCCTAAATGGACAAGATATCCTGTGTGAGAATCAAAAAGGCCTATCATTTAATTCTTCCTAAACTAATTTATAATTTAATGAAAACTCAATACACCAGGAAATAACACAATGATACAGAAATATATGATCATAGTGAGAGTAGGAACCTTGTGGATGGTGAGGAGTGTCCATTTCAGCATATATTTTGAAAGGACAATTTGCCACATTTACTAATAAATAGATTAATTATAAAAGGTAAGGGAGGAAATTAATTTAGAATTACTACTTCCTTTTAGGTCTTAGAAGTTTGGGACTATAGTACATTTTATAATGAGAAAGATTTGGTAGAAGAAAATTTTCAGAAGAACTAGGAATCTGCATTTAGCCATAACAAATTTGACAAACTTATTATACATATAAATCCATACGTCCACTAATCGATTGGAAATATAAGTCAATATCATTATCTGGGTAGTAGGCCCAGAATGGATTAGAAGTTTGCTTATAACCCCACACACTCAAAACCTTCAGTCTGTGTTTCCTTAGCATCTCTTAGAAAAACAAA